TAATGACATTTAAATTTATGTTTTTGATCTTTTAAATGGTAATGTAATATTGGAAATATCATTGAATGCATGATGTGAATCAATACTAGAATCATCAACGCTAGTATCACCGGTTGCCTGATTAAAACCGGTTTTATTAAATACGGTTTAAAACCGGTTCCGATTTTGTGTCGTTGTAATACGATTCTATTAATAAATTCGATGTAACAAAATTCATTGTTTGACTGTATAACAAATAATGTCTTTATTAGTTCTGTGTCCGAGTCTCGAAGATGATAATTTATTTTAAAGTCAATAATATTAATACAATAATACAATCACAAATTCTTCCAATTTATTTATACTAAATCGTAACAATAATTTCCGCGAATGTTATATTATGCCTTATTCTCAAAACTATCTTTCACCATCGTTAAACAATTCCTTTGCTAAGCAATACAAACAATGTCTTCTTTAGATTTCACACTATATCCTGATCACGTTTCTTGGCAGGTGTCCAAACTTCACTAAATAGAATTTATTAAATATTACCACATTAAAAGAAAAAAAAAAAATAGAAAAAATAGAGACAAGTATAAAATATTATGCATGGGATTAATATGAATTGATAGATTTATAAAATCCGAAGACAATCACAAGGACAAGGACAAGGACAAGGGAAATTTATTAGATGTTAGTCATCAATTTCTTCCTTATTCGTTCTTGTGTAATAATACACTTCAACATCATAAATAATAATTATATTGATATTAAAATAAACAATAATAATTAAATAACGGTCTATCTAATAAACAAATTAATGATTCTCTATTTAAATAAAATAATAATGGTCAAGTAGGTAATTAATATTTAAATCTGATTTAAGCTGTGTGGTATCATATGTGATGGATTTTTCTTTTCATTCTTTTCAACTTCTCTAATAAAGGTAACGAGCTTGAATTTCTTATTTCGGCCAACTAGCTTAACGAGAGTTGATGCCATGGTGTGCTTTTTGACTATATAAATTTTTTGTTTGGAAATACGAGTTAGTATGTGGAAAAGTGTCAATTAATTAGCGATGGTTTATTCCAAGCCCATATTTATTTCATCTTTCACCATCGTCAAACAATTCCTTTGCTAAGCAATACAAACAATGTCTTCTTTAGATTTCACACTATATCCTGATCACGTTTCTTGGCAGGTGTCCAAACTTCACTAAATAAAGTTTATTAAATATTACCACATTAAAAGAAAAAAAAAAATAGAAAAAATAGAGACAAGTATAAAATAAGAGAGAATTAATTATGCACGGGATTAATATGAATTGATAGATTTGTAAAATCCGAAAACAAGGACAAGGACAAGGACAAGGGAAATTTATTAGATGTTAGTCATCAATTTCTTCCTTATTCGTTCTTGTGTAATAATACACTTCAACATCATAAATAATAATTATATTGATATTAAAATAAACAATAATAATTAAATAACGGTCTATCTAATAAACAAATTAATGATTCTCTATTTAAATAAAATAATAATGGTCAAGTAGGTAATTAATATTTAAATCTGATTTAAGCTGTGTGGTATCATATGTGATGGATTTTTCTTTTCATTCTTTTCAACTTCTCTAATAAAGGTAACGAGCTTGAATTTCTTATTTCGGCCAACTAGCTTAACGAGAGTTGATGCCATGGTGTGCTTTTTGACTATATAAATTTTTTGTTTGGAAATACGAGTTAGTATGTGGAAGAGTGTCAATTAATTAGCAACGGTTTTATTCTAAGCCCATATTATTTCATGTTGCAAAAATAATGTTTTTAACAAGAATCATTTACACAGTTAAAGAAATGATTTCTTTTTCTTTTTTAAAAATAATTACATGTATAATTGGTAGGACAAAGTTAATTAACAGTTATATTTACGTAGGTTTTATCAGCGATTCGTATTAAGCGAGGTTACTATGTTTGCCGTGTGAAACAAGTATTTTGGTGTTTCTCACCTTTAATGATAAGTACCAAATAAAGGAATGGGAAAAAATGATACTAAAACTAAAATGGCATAGGATGAATTGTACATGCACTAACAATGAGCGAACTACTCTGAATGTGCTATGAATTCAAGCCATCTTAGAAATAATCATTGATGTGGAATATCTGTCACCAAAGCCAGCACTTTACACGATTGCAGAACAGCGAGAAGCATAATATCATTATTATTATTGATGTTATTTGGTGGTCATTTTAAAAAAATAATGTAATACCTCAATGCCTTTTATCATGTTGCTTGATAAAATGTAAATTAAATTATTTATAGAGATATTAATGATTGACATATACAGCAAATACATTATTGCATTGTGCAATGCCACATTGATTTTCAATGCCATTATCACTTTTTTGGTATTAAAAACAGGAACGTTGTTCCATGCTATTTGACGCCTCCAAAAATTTCCTGATATTTGTTAATATGATACTTGCTCATTCAACACATTCACCATTGACTAATAACATACTGTTATAGTGAAACATAACAATATCTGTATCTCTTTTTCCTTCATTTCCAGTAGATTTAAGTATGCTGGCTCCTTTACACTATTAATATTGTAATTGTATTTTCTAATGTTGCCATACTACTTTTTTTGGTGTTTAAAAATAAATTCATGCTTGAAACATACACTTCTCATCTAACTTCAAATTACTTTAAACAGAACCTGAGTTTTCTATTGATATAAATATAACCAATCCAGATCTCATTAAAATCCAAATCACCATGGACTTACTAGTACTAATTGTGGATGTGAAAAGATTTCATGAGACTTTGCTAACATCATTACCTTTGCCTCTAATATTGATGAGTGCATTTATATGTGTATGTGTGTAAATTAATATTTTATAATTTATAATTGTATTTTTAGGTGATAATATTAATATTAATTTTTTAAAGTTGAAAGAGTAATTTCAGGAGAAAAATTTCTTAGCCATTTATTCTCCAAAATTTACTTGATAATAATTGATTTATTTATTCAAACAAATCTTATACTATATGATCCAATAAATAAATAAAATGGAAGTATACAGATTAGTTATGATATTTTTCTCTACATCACTTTCTACATCACATTCCATGAATATATACATATACAAAAAATAAACCTGAACCATTCTCCCTTAACGAAGCTATTTCTTCCTCGACCTTATTTCAAGACAATTATGATAATTACGGAATGATAGATGAATTCATCAATAATATCCCACAACCATGGATTTGATTTGGTAATTCCAAATTAACTGACCCAGTAACAAGAAATGTACTTAATGTGATTATTTATCAAAGATCTTTTTTGTCAAAATAATCATCAATCAATAATCACTCGTTCAATATATAGTTGAAAAGATCACAATGATTTTCATAAGAATAAAATCTGTGTCCAATAGTTGGTGCAAGTTTCTGATGACAATATAATTAATTCATGATACAACATTAAAATAATTGATTGATTGATCTATGAAAATTTGATTAAAGAAATTAGATTGATGAATATTTTTAAAGATCAAACAAAAGATTTTGCTTACCGTCATCATTCAATTAGCTCGACATCACGCCAAAAGGTTTCAGAATATATTTTTCTGTCAATTGATTAAAGGGCATTTTCATATATACTATGCAATTCATGAATATTATTTTCCAAAACGTTTATATGAAAGTATATAACGAAATTTTTAATAATATCTGACATTTCTTCGTATTAATTTTGCATCATTTGATCTTACAATACTGAATTAATTAACATATATTAATGTAAAATTGACTAATAAAAATTTTTCATGTATACATATATATACCTTTACCGTCTAATTCATCGTCAAATATAACATAAACCTTGTTATTTATAGCGGCTTCAACATTAAAAACTAAATCTACTTTTCTGAACCCTCGTGATACATTTATTGAAGATGATAAATTTTTTTTAAGATCATCCATCATTTATCTCGAATTTAGATCACAAATATTAACAAAAGATGACAATAGATCGTAGGCGTATTCAAGGACCAGAATTAAGCGTTGCTCCAGTGATAATAAAATCTTCAAGCGATAAAAAATCAAACGCTTTAGTAGATGAGAATGGTAATAGGCTTGATGGAAGAGATTTAGAAGATATTCGAAAAATTTGTATGCATTTTAAAATTTCTTCAGTGATTCATTATATGTATGTGTTTAAACAAAAGAAATAATATATGATTTTTAGATTTAAAAACCGGTCTAATAAGTCAAGCTAATGGTTCAGCATACATAGAACTAAATCAAACTAAAATTGCTTGTGGTGTGTAAGTTTTTTCACTGCTACTTTATTTATAAAAAGCCACTTTAATTGTTATTCAATGCAAAATAATTTAAATTTAAAAAAATTTTTATAGTTATGGTCCACGTCAAACAAAATTTCCATTGTTTAGTGGGAAAGGAACCTTAAATTGTGAATTGAAATTTGCACCATTTTCATGTTTGAAGCGTCGACAGCCTTATCGTGTAAGATTTAATAAATTATTAAGTTGAAAATATGGATTTATTAATATTTTTTAATTGATATATATCATATCTTTCTTTCTATTCTATTAATTTATATAACTTAGGATGTACAAGAAAGAGATCTTTCACAATTAATTTTTGATGCATTATCACCATCTGTAAGACTTGAATTATTACCAAAATCAACAATAGATATATTTATAAACGTGTTGGAAAATGATGGAACTACATCTTGTTTAGCTGCTGCTATAACATGTGCTTCGGTAGCTTTGGCGGATGCAGGGATTGAAATGTTGGATTTGGTTGCTGCTTGTTCTGCAGTAAGAGTTAAAGATATCTTTTTTACATCATCATATTTATTATAAAAAGACTAATCTTATTTATTTTTCTAAAAAAAAAAAAATATTTATATACAAAGTCATTTATTGGAGGACGGATTTTTATAGATAGTAATCTGATGGAAGAACAACATGAAACAGGTTCTTTGATATTATCATATATGCCATCATTAAATGAGGTAACACACATTCTACAATCAGGTGAAGTGGATTTTACACTTACAACACAAGTAAGTTCTTTCTTTTTTGTGTTGAATCTTCAAATTCCTTGATTCTTTAATTAACTTTAAACCATTTATTATTTTACATGCACAAAGGCTATTGAACAATGTACTGATGCATGCAACAATATCTATTCAGTGATGAATAATAGTCTTATGGAATCTGTTAAAAATAAGCTTAATTAATAAACTTAATTAGATCAACCAATCAATCAATCAATATTTGATTGCATACGTTATATATTTTATAAAATTATATACTCCAATCAGGGTTCTGTATACCTGACACATGTCTGTTCTTAACAAAAAATTTAGGGCACAGGCATGGGAATGGGCATGGGCACCAGGAAATGTTGGCACCATACCAGGTACTAGTGCCACTGCCAAAGTGCTGCCATTTTTTATTTATTTTGCTCCAATTCTTCTGCCCGTGCCTCAACATTTTAGGCATGTCTGCTGAATATTTTATAGTTTAAATAAATTTATAAATGCAACTCTTTTCTATTATATTAATATTGACATTTTATATAATAAAACATTTCTAAATAAAAGAACTCCCAAATATTTCACTATTGTGTTTGCTTTTTGATGGGAGATCTAATAAAAATATACTCTGACAACTTTATTTCAAATATCTCACATGAAAATAGTATAACAGAAATAATAAATATAATACTAAAAACATTGGACAGAGGTATGGCATGATAATCGAAATGCTTGACAATGTCTGCATTGTCGAGCAAAATGCACTTTAAAAAAATGTACATTCACAACTTAAAGAAATTCAGAAAAAATCTTAATCCTCTTAACAATCTGCTAGAAATACTTGTATTTAATAAAGTAATAAATAGGTTCTATGCCAGGCACCATTGGCACCATGCCGAGCACTAGTGCCAGTGCCAATACTGGTACTCAGTGTCCAGCTTTTTTTATTAGGCACCAGCTAATATCACAAATCCTTGTATGGTTTTTAAATATTCAGTATTGGTGTGATTGATTCTCTATCGTAAATTGTGCCTGTCGTCATCATGATGTTGTGGGAATGGTTTTCCTTATTGAAAGCATGAAATTCATTGGGAGCTAACAAAATTTGCAGCAATATCTAAAATAATTTCCATCCATGATCTATAAAATATTATAAGGCTTTTTTCAAGTTAAAAAAATTTACCATTTTATTGTCACCAATATCATTTGATTTCAACATTTAATTAATACAACTATACATGAAGTCGAAACTATTTCGACCATTTGCAGATCTGGTCAAAATAGGGTCGAAATAAGGTCGAAACTGATTTTTACTATGTAGTTGCCTCAAGTCAAAACATTTCGACTTTGGGTTTTTAATTTCGACTTCATGTATAAATACAACCAAAAAGTTGGCTTCTTCTATTATATCTTTTATTGACTATTATCGGATTTTTTTGGTTATCTTTGTAATAAAAAGAAGGAAAAAGAAGACATAATAATCTTTGAGGTAAATACTCATTTTAATTATGATTAAAAGTAATATCACCATTATTATTTAATCTCCCATTAATAAAAAGATGTGCAAAACTCCATGCTCATAATATACCTTGTTATTTTCACAAAAAATAATCAATTTATATTTAGACATTATAATCTTAATTGTCTAAATTAATTAATTTATATTTAAATATTCTCAAAATGTGTTAATTTAGATCCATCTAATATATATCACCCACCTAAGGAGGCAGGTAGTCAATATAAATTTAAGTAAGAACTATTTAAATTAGAAATTGATTTTGAGTGAGTTTGTTGGTTTTTAACTAAAGCACAGTACATTGTAGTAGCCAAATATTTTTAAAGGCAAACTATAAGGGATGATGTGAATGATGATTGAAATTTTTCATGAAAAGTAAATATTGGATATAAGATTTTTGATTAGGAATTACTACAAGATTTACAGACAGAGCATAGTCAAGTTTTGATTGGGGTAAATGTTGTAGTAATTTATTGATTTGTGTACATTTAGAAGATAACTAATTTGAGATTTGCAAGGTAATTGATTTTGACCATGTGATTGAGGATTAGATTGATATGGGAATAAGTGGGTGATGTTTTAGTGGGAATTACAGCAAGGAATAATGTAGGATAATTATATATCAAATTTTTATTGAGAGATGAGTATTGAAGATTTCAAGTTTGAATGAGAATAATGATCCATGTTAGAAACATAAATTATTTTCTATATCTTTACACAACTTTTATAATGGTAGAACATTAATTTAAACAAGCAGATAATAATACCATGTGATAAACTGAAAAAAATTACATTCTTTCTTTTATATCTTAGATAATATTTTAATTAGTAAATCCATCTAATTTTATAATTTATCTAAATATCCAAATTCATTTGATTGGAATCTAAAAATGATGATTATAAGTATATAAGTATATTAATATAGGCAATTTTAATATTAAAAAATTATGATCAAAATTAAATAATAATAATTACCACCATTATTTCCAATGATTGTAACTTTATTGGAGTTTACAGGCTGAGGAAGATTTGTAAAATTCAGTAATCTGCTAGTATAAATAGCATTTGGATGTATAGTTGCTGCAGTAATTGTTGAAGGGTTATATTCAATACAATCCATTTCTTCAAATATTTTTTTAGTTGATATTGCCTCATTTGAATCTATAGAATAAGCTTTTAATATTTTATTCCAAAACTCAATATTATCAGAAATTACTTTAGCAGTTGGACGTTTATCTGGATCAGCATCCATACATTTGTAGGCTAATTCAATATAAAGCTTTGGTGTGTTTATTGAGAAGCCAGGCCTTACTCCTTCACATATTTTGAATGCAAGATCTAAATCATGTGAAACATTACTAAAAGGTTGTTGACCTGTTGAGATTACTGACATCAATACTCCAAAACTATAAATGTCTGATTCAAATGTATAGGGTTTACCATTTAATATCTCTGGTGCTAAGTATGGTACTACTCCATATATATTGTTACTTGATGATGTTTGATCAGCTGGAATGGATAATCCTAAGTCTGCAATAAATGAAAAATTACCATCCTGAAGAATATTACCACTGTGAAGATCATGATGAATGAATTTTTGTTCATGAATCTTTTTTAAACCTTCAATAATATCATTAAGAATTTCAATTTTTTTCTTCCATTTTAAAATTTTAAATTCTTTTGTTAAATAATTTAGAAGATTTCCTCCTTCCATATATCTCATTACAAATATATAATCTTTAGTGACTGGATCTTGTGTTAACCCATGAATTTCAATTAATATACCATTTTGGTGAAATTTAATATAATTTTTGAACTAATAAAAAAATATTTATTGTTAAATTAAATATTGTAAAAAGTGAATCAATAATAATAAATATTTTACCTCTTTTAAAAATTCATCACAAATATTTTGTGAATTATGCAATTTTTTTAATGCAACAATCATATCTTCACAAAATCTTTTTTTATGAAGTACATCTATAGATTTTTTACCATTTATCCATGTAGCTTTGTATACATTTGAAAAACCACCTTCACCTATCTTTTTAATGTCTTTTAATTTGTCATAAGGAATCCATTCAAGATAAGAATTCCGTTGAAGATAATCAGCATTACTATATTCTGTTGATTCAATTTATGTACTTTTTATTAATTTATCAATGGTTTTGTTGCCACTGCTCCATCCTTGAGTTAATAATCGTGGATCACAATATTGACACCATGAATAATCAGTGTTATATCCATAACAAGTTGAACATTTACCATATATTTTTTCCCATTTGTTTAGATATTCATCATCAGATAATAATATTTCTATTTGCAGAAATGATAGATCCATTTGATTAGAGTCTATAAAAATAATTATTATAGGTATATTAATATTGATATTGAACTTAAAATTAATCAATAATCAATAACTAATTAACAATAATCACCATTATTATTTTCAATGATTGTAACTTTGTTGGAGTTGACAGGATAAGGAAGATTTGTAAAATTTAATATTCTGCTAGTATAAATAGCATTTGGATGAACAGTTGCTGTAATTGTTGAAGGATCATATTTAATCTCATTTATTTCATCAAATATTTTTCTATTTGAATTTGCTACACGAAAAGAATGATAAATAATTTTTCTAATTTTATCAGCAGTTGGACGTTTATTTGGATCAGCATCCATGCATTTGTAGGCTAATTCAATATAAAGTTTTGGTGTGTTTATTGAGAAGCTAGGTCTTACTCCTTTACATATTTTGAATGCAAGTTCTCTATCATGTGAAACATCACTAAAAGGTTGTTGGCCTGTTGAGATCACTGACATTAATATTCCAAAACTATATATATCTGATTCAAATGTATATGGTTTACCATTTAATATCTCTGGTGCTAAGTATGGTAATACTCCATATATATTGTTACTTGATGATGTTTGATCAGCTGGAATGGATAATCCTAAGTCTGCAATAAATGAAGAACCACCATCTTGAAGAATGTTACCAGTGTGAAGATCATGATGAATGAATTTTTGTTCATGAATCTTTTTTAAACCTTCAATAATATCATGAAGAATTTCAATTTTTTTGTTCCATTGTAAATATTTAAATTTTTTTGTTAAATAATTTAAAAGATTTCCTTTTTTCATATATCTTATTACAAATATATAATCTTTAGTGACTGGATCTTGTGTTAACCCATGAATTTCAATTAATATACCATTTTGGTGAAATTTAATATAATTTTTGAACTAATAAAAAAATATTTATTGTTAAATTAAATATTGTAAAAAG